ACCTTTGGCTTCTCTCCCACATGTCATTTCCGACTCCACATTATGAGAATGACCCAAAGCACTTCTGTGACAGGAGGAGAACGAGCATCATGCAGGTTACTTTACTACACATGAACTGACCTGTGCCACGGGACTTATAGGGCTGTTTGAAGAAGGTCACCACTCCGTACACGTTGACCGCAGGTCCAGCCTTCAGTCGCCCAGTCGGACATAGGTGTATTTTGGAGCCTTGGTTGTCCTGGAAACCTGAGGAGAGAGATGGACGAGTTTGAAAGAGGCTCCAGCAGCAGCTCAGGTTAGCATGTAGCTAGCCAATGCTACCTCCTTAATGTAGCACAAGGCCCGTTTCTCACCTTTCAAAGATGAACAGTGGCTTTGTGTTTAACTGCAATGTTAATTTTCCACTTCATTCATTCAGGTGAGACCTTTCATCACTCTCCTCTGTAAACTGATGACTTTCGATATGATTCAAACACAGCGTCACAGCAGGAGACTGATTGCTTTCTGTTACGCTCAGTTGAGATTCATTTTCTTGTACACCAAACATGACCCCGTGTTTAGCTTTTAGTGTCTAACCCGAGCTAATGTCGATGCTACACATTACTTCCTGCATGTTTTTAATTATGTTCTTCTTACCTTCTGTTTTTAAATCATGCAAAGTTGGTCCGTAAGTTTCACTGACTGATAACATGAAAAGTAAACATGAGGAGAATATGGGGTCTTTAAGAATTGCTGATTGTGTTCCCTTAAAGGTAGCATATTATGCTAAATCCACTTCATCATGTTTCTCTAACATTAATATGTGTCTCTAGTCTCTCTACAAACCATCCAATGATGAGAAAAGTCCATCCTCTCCGTCTTTTGCCTGCTCCAATTTTCAGAAACTGTTCTCAAACAGGCCGTTTGGAGATTTTCCCTTCATGACATCACAAAGGGCAGTAACCCCTCCCCCAGGTGGATGACACTCCCACAGCTAGGTGTTTGTTCTGCCCTCTGAGTCTGCCTTCTCGCCTTAAACAATAGGACATGGAGCAAGAAAGCCCGAGCCACCCAAGCCCTTCCAGAGAGGGGGCGTGGTCAGACACAGCTCATTTACATTTAAAGCTACAGACACAGAAACAGTCTGTTCTGAGCAGGGCTGAAATAGAGGGGTTTATAGACATGATCAAATACAGGATCAGAGTGGATTTAGAATAAGAAACTTCACACACATGTTGTGGGGAGCTCTGAGACTTATTTACACTGGTTGAAGAGGAGGAGAATATGTCACCTTAAATTCAGTCCTGTGTTGTTCATTGTTGATTTCAGCACTATCATAAAGGATTCGCTGCTGAAACCACATTTATTTCTGTAAAACCTTGATGATGACATATAAGTTTATAAAAAAAGACTTGAGTGTTGCTGGCATACATGATGTGAAGCCTGATGTGTATACCAGCTGTTAGACATACAGTACATGTTGTGTGTTAACGAGGAGCCTGTAGATCTCATCATCCCCTCTGTATCAAACTGCAGACTGATGAAGGCACGCTAGCATTTGTTACCCTGCTTCCCATCTCTACTGTACTTTAGAATACACTTCAGTATTAAACATCTACAATCCTCCTCCCTAAATCATCCCCATCACCACAGAGAGCAGCAACCTGAGGTGACGGTGACACAGCCATCAGCTGATATGAAACTTCCTGACAGACACCTCCACACCTCCAAGACCTCCACAATAAACTCCAGCAGCCTCTCCAGCTAACAAAGCCTCTGAATCTAACCTGAGCAGAGAGCGCTGAGCCCCTCTTGACGGCTGGCTGGGATCCGGGGTCAGGAGGAGTCGGCAGGCGGGAGACCTGCAGGAGGAAGAGAGAGGAGGAGGAGACGTTACGGTCGTGTGGGTTCAGTAACGAAAAGACACAAAAGACGACACACAGCAGATGCCAGAGCTGCTGCAGGAAGGGCAGTAAATGACAACGAGAGCGAGGAGAGTGGAATAATATCTCTGAAATGTCAACTGTCAGAAAACTTTACCTCAAATACAAAATGACCAAGTTCAGTTTTTTTTGATTACACTCCAACTCTTTGATTTTTTGGATCCGACTTGTGTTTTTTGACTTGAGTGTCTTCAATATGAAAAATTGTCTCCAAGTAAAGTTTCACATGTGACACTCTGATCCCACTTAAAGTGTTAAAGTACACGTTGTGAGGTGTAGTAGGAATGGCTGAGCCTGCAGGTTAAATATCAGACTGTAAGAAGAGGGAAGCATGAATGCATGTGAAGGCATTGTCTCTCTGATGGTGATTTAGTGTGAGATACGTTAGAGTCTGAGCTGTAAAAAGGACTCCTCTTCTAACAGACTGGCAAGCCTGCATATTTGTTTTTTGGGATTACTGTAAGGTCGGGAATATACTCATGTAGGCTGTTTCTGACACCATTTTTTAGTTCCAGGGCTGATTTTGAAGTCGGACTGAGTTTCAGCTCGATAGCATGTTGTTTTGGGGAGGACTCCCTGAGAGAAAAAAAGGTTTTAACTGTCTTCCTGCGTGATGATTTCAATTGCATTCATCAAAGTCTACAACGTGTAGTTTCTGTGCAGCTGTGTCGCTCTGTAAGCACCATCTGTCTTCACTGTGCGCAGTTTGCACTCCTCCTAGCTACAGCGACGGTAAATTAGCTCTCAGCATACGGTGAAAGTTGTGAAGTAGAGACCTGTAAATCTCACTGCCCAACTCTGCTGGTTACCTTGTTGATTTAATTGAGTGTTTTCAATCAAACCAGCGCTCCAGAGGGTTAATTTATTGAACACTAGACCATTAGTGCATGATTAAATGCATGATTATGACCTCATGAGGGAGACAAGATGTCAAAAAAAAGGGGCACTTCCATCCTGGTCTGCATCACTATGTATCCTAGCAGAGCTCCCGATACACAATGAATGGCGGCGACATTTCAAGGAGGTGGTGGCTGCACTTACGGCGGTCATGACAGCGTGTGTGTCAGCATTTCTAACTGGTGTATAGGATGTAGCCAACTTTTTAGATGAAAAAAAACAGAGGTATTAAAAGTGCGTCTTATACATCAGATTTCAAATGGTACAGCGTGAGCCCGGCCTAACAGAGTCCTAGTGTCCTGGGTGACCATTTTGAGGGTCTTTCTTAAATCACGGCCTCATTGTAAATTGATGAATAGAGGACTTTTATTAAAGGACTGACAGTTAGAATTGACAGTTTTCACACCAACACTCACACAGTTTAAGATGTGAAAACACACATTGGAGGATTGCCTTCTTACTCACAGTATGCGGATTCATATAGAACATAATACTGAGACGGTTTAAGTCCTCACATAGATGTAGGCGTCGTCTCCTGACAGCAGCAGGTTACACGGGTGCAGCTTGTCCTTATTAACAGTTGGAGATTTGCCCACAGTGAAGCCAGAAGCCACGACCACATCCTGCAGGACAAAAAGGAAAATCATCAACAACAAGCAGAGAAATCAGGGATTAAAACAGGGAGAGCAGAGAGGGGTGAATTTACATCTTCCTTCCCAGAGGGAGGACAGATAGAAGCAGCAGATGTTGCATCCTGGGAGATGTTAAGTAAGACGTCACAACAAGCCGCCGATGATAAGCCGGTGTGAAAAGTGGAGATTGTCTTTTGTTTGGCATGTGAAGTGCCCCCGAGACAGATTCAAAAGCCTCCACTCAGGGCTGACAAAGGGACAGCAGATAGTCTGAATAATCACGTTACAGAGACACGCAGGCCTGACAACAACTCTGTGATCTACAGCCGAGCATGGCGGCTCAGGATGTGGATGACTTCCTGCGTTTTGAGTTTCACCAAGACACCGCTGTAGGGAAACCAAAGAGAGATTCTGCTGACAGCTGGATTACCTTTGATTCGTTCACTGTCCCGGTCCAGGTCAAAAGCATGAACAACATCACAGCTGCCTCTGTGTGCAGATGTGACAGCGTCAGAGTGGACTGAAAGTAAACGGGCACGCGGAGCTGCAGTTAGGATGATTCAGAGTCACTTTCAGAAGTTGAAGGAGCTGCAGGAGGTGAGCTGTCACACCAGAGCACCGACACATGAAGAGGAAAGTTTACCGAGCTTAACATTATTTAGACTTTAGCTCTGTGTGAATTGGTGACAAACATGTTCACAGTGACAACAGGTAAGCTGTTCTAATAACATTACAGGTCTCTGAATTCTGGAGGCAGTCATCACTTACAGAGCGGTCAATGCTTCCAATATGAAGAGCCAATTTGTGAAGGATTAGCAGTGATTTATGGGACATTCTGGCAGTTTCCCTTTATATCTGACGTTTCTCACACCCTCTCCTGGATTAAACACTTCCTCTCTGTTTACGTGCTTGCGAGGAGGGTCTGACACATTGAGTCACATCCAAACCCTCTGAATTTGAGAAAGTGGGTAATTAAACCCTCCTACAACACGTCTGCACTGATGCTGGCTTGATGATCAGGTGCGACACCTTCAATGTCTGTCATTGTAGACGCTCCATTCAAAACGTTGTCAACCATACAGACTCAAGATAAAAAATAGAAGTATCATACAGAAATGAAAATCAAAGTTTTCATCTTATTCAGGATCTTATAAACAATTTACTAGTCTCAAAAATGGTGTGTGTGTTTGTTTTACTGTGAGGTGATTTATTTTTACAGGGATTTGCAAAAACTAATCGTCTTATAAACATCAGGTTGATGTTTAATGCCACCAAATATAAGAGAGTTTTTTCTCATAGTGTTGAGTGATATTAGTGAGTCTGCGTCACGGTATTTACTGTAAGTAGACAGCTTATTATTTAAATGACATAAAACCATGGTTACACAAAGTTCCTGTTTTCATGGGAGTGAGGGGAGTTCTTCCCAAAGCTTGCTGCTGTATGGGATGGAGGGATGTGGGATGTATATGGGATGGATGGATGACTGGACGGATAATTTTATGGATGGATATTGGATGGTTGGATGGATATTGGCTGGAGAATGGATGGATTGATTTATATTGGATATGTGGGTGGATATGGGATTGATATTTGATGGATGTTTGGATTGATACTGATGGATATTGGATGGAAGAGGGATCTTGGATTGATGGTTGAATACTTTAATTATCCCAAGGTAAATTCAAACCCTCCACCTTAACAACGTGTGCTTCACTCAGCTGAGCTCGCTCGATGCCAGAGAGTGAGTGTTTGAGTGACGAGTTTGAGAATGGCCCCAGACTTTACCTGGGCAGGTCGTTCAGGTATAGTAAAGCCCACCAAAGTTCCAACCCTGTTAACATTTTTTATGTTTGTGTGTCACGCAAATATCGTGTTGGATCTTAACTAACCATACACGTACACAGTATCTTAAAATGTGTTTTCCATAAAAAGATCTAGATATCTCTGCAGGTGTAAATGTCAGAGCTTGAGAGCTGTAAGTTCAACCATAACAGCACACACAAGCACAAACAAACAGCGAGGACATGAATAGAAACCTGAAAATAAATCTAACTGTGAATGAGCATCATCGTCCAGACGGCATCAGTCTGAATCATCATCTTCTCCGTCCACACTGCCGTCACTACAGCAAGTCTCCTCATGCTAAATAAAGATTCAGAGATTTGTGTTTTAATCAGCACAAAAGAGGTGATGAAAGCCCCCAGAATACACACAAAGCAGACAGTGTACATGGCAGGAAAAAAACAAATTGTTTTGCCTAGTACACAACAGAGAAGGAATTCATTCTGGACTTCAGGAGGAAATGATGACCAAACAAAAGGTGCAATAACAGATGTGGAAAAAACTCTCAACAAAAGAAAACTCACAACTCACACACAAACATGTAAACTGTTTATATTTTATGTCACGGCCTAATGCAATGTCTTATACAGAAAGTGTGTATTTTTGTGTATAGTGTAATAGGGCCACACAATTTATATCGGTTCAGATAATTAGCTGGCCTATTTATGGGAATATTTGATAAATTTTTATTTTTCCGATAATGACATATTAACCGCTAAAATCAACCGATTATATGGGTCAGGGGTGGGCACATCCTCAACTTCCCTCAACCCCTCAGGTCAATTTTTACGTATCAATTAATTGGAATCATGAAGAAAACATGACAAAATTTGAAGTAACAGTCTGAAGGTTTGTGTATTTATGTGGGGACGCCACCTGGAGGGGGTGGGGGGTGGGATTAGGGTTAACATTTTTTTGCTGTGAATGTTCATCTGACTGTGATCAATATGTAAAATTGATAAATAAAGTTGTTAAAAAAAAAGTAACAGGAGTTAAAAATCTAAGCACTAGTGTTTCAAATATGAACGTTGGTATCATAGATGCTGATAAAAGCTATGTATTCCTTCCTTTGGTTGAACTGTAAATCAACCTAGAAGTATCCTACAATTTTGCCCTCTGGCAGTGAGAATTAAATGAATGCGGCCCTTGCTGTGACAAGATAAGATTTACTTTTATTGATCCCCGCAAGGGGAAATTTCAGTTTACACACTCTGTAGTCATGCAACACACACATGCACACAAACAGGATAACTATGGACATGCACTAGGGGAGACATGTCAGAGTTCCTGAGCTGGGGGTTTGGTGCCTTGCTCAGGGGCACCTCGGCAGTGCTCAGGAGGTGATCTGGCACCTCTCCAGCTACCAGACCAACTTCCATACTTGGTCCGCACCGGGACTTGAACCGGTGACCCTCCGGTTCCCAACCCAAGTCCCTACAGACTGAGCTACTGCCGCCCTTAAAGTTGTGTTTCAGAGCAGAATAACACGATTGAAATTTGCAAAAGGTGTCCCGCAGGGTTTCAGAGGGGAGGAAAAAGTCATGAAGTTATAACACACTGAATATGAGTCAGCTGAAGAGTCGTCATGGCAACAAAGATGTATTAAAGTTATACGAAGCAGCAGTAGCCGCTAGCAGTAGCCGCTAGCATTAGCACCAAGTCTAAGGTGCCTTAGAGCCGACGTTTGAAAATTGCCGAAAGTTTGCTCGAGACAGTCCAATGGCTAAAGCAATGAATGACATGAAAGAATCACATACACATATTCAACACACACACTGAGAGATAATGTACCACAACAAGCACTACACTTTTATCAAAGTTTCTTTATGTTGTATCTTCAATAACAGAGAGATCGTACCCCTTGATTGACAGCTTGGCTGAACTCCTTGGCCAGCGCTCCCATCAGGACGACGTTGATGGACGACAGCTGAGACGAGGTGATTGGCTGGGACTCTTCTTCTGTACAAAAAAAAGTGCAGAAAATTAGATTTTTTTTTTACACTGGAAAGACAAAAGGATGCAGGACACTTTTGATCAAGACGAGTATGTGTTGAGATTCATCATACTGATAAAAACATGTTGGGTCAGAAAGATGGTGAACTCGGGATTAACTGGTTATATTGGAACTGTAATTAAAATAGTTCTCATTTCTCACTTCTCATTTGATAATCAGTTAGTTCTTTAGTTAGTCAAATAAGTGACAATTCTCTCCATCCAGCATCTTGATCTTTGGGTTTGGGGAAAACACTTTTGGACAAAAACAATTCGCTTCTTACTGCCACAACTTATATGTTAAAGGTCACATATCATGCAAAATACACTTCACCATGTTTTTCTAACGCTAAGGGCGCATTCACACTGGGCAAAGTTGTCCCATACCGTACTTAAGCATAATTGCCCCCTAATATGTGTCCCTAGTCTGTCTACAAACCCCCCCAATTATGAAAAAAGTCCATCCTCTCCTTCTTCTGCCTGCTCCACTTTTCAGATAATGTGTGCTCAAACAGGCCGTTTGGAGGTTTTCCCTTCATGACCTCTAATACACCTGCAGGTTCAACACAGCATCCTAACTGACAGCCATGTGTTTAAACAAACACAGAGAGAGGTGACCCCGCTCATCCTGCTACTGGACACACAGGCGAGCTGGATGTCTGAGAGTTGAAACGTTTAAAAAGAAGGATGTCCTCGCCACAATAAGAGCCTCTGCTCTCTGTGGCTTTTTAATCAGGCTGCTCAAAGATAAGAAGGCCACAGACGAGGCAACAATGAGACACACAGGCCTCTGTCTGCCGCTGAAATCCAGACGAGCTAAAGAGCTTACCTCACACATACAGAACAGTCCACACACACACACACACACACACACACACACACACACACACACACACACACACACACACACACACACACACACACACACACACACACACACACACACACACTTCTGCAGTACTACTGACCTTATAGCCTCTGTATTGTCACAGTTTGGGGTTTTACTGCACAAACCTCATTGAACTTTACATGTGACACAAACAGAACAGAGACCACTGTGTTAAACATATTTCATTACCTAGTCTTATGTAACTCTGCTTTGCTACTTTCAAGTATTAGTTGTATGCATTTGGTCATAGCTTCGGTTTTGGATGAAATCGTTGTCGTTTAAACGGGGATTCAATTTCACAACTGTGCCTCAGAGCCAAGGAGATCCAAAGCAAAGATAGAACAGTGGTTCCCAATATACCTTCAAGAAAAAAGTCCCTACAGTAGTTTTTTCTCTCATGTGTGGAATGGATGCTAATCATTCATCATTCTATTAATCATGTGAACGCTTTTTCTTTTAGATGAAGTTGTGACTCTTAATCTGAATTAAAGAGGACATATTATCTCCCTTCTCCACCTTTTCAAACAGTCCCCTGTGGTCTAAATGAAACATCTGTGCTGTGCTTTGGTCAAAATATAACATGAATCAAGGACAAGAGGAGGTTAGTGAGCCTGTATAAACCAGCTCTCTCAGAACGCTCCCTTTTGGTGTGTGTGTTTCTTTAAATGCAATGAGCCCCACCCCCCTCACCCCGCGGGGTGTGCTGACCGGTGGCGACGCGAGTTCAGCTTTGAGCTCACATGGTAACTCATCAGCGTGCCCCCTTGGAAAAACATGGCTGCCGGAAACAATACAGGAGGGGAGTTTTTTTTTTTTTTTTTTTTTCTTCACAGAATCCCACTGTGACATCACAAGGAGAGCACATTTGAAACGGAGCATTTTTCTCTGTGTTGTAAGACTTATGCAGACCACAAACAAAGGACTGGATGGGTTTATTTCACATTTTGTGGGTCAGTAGACACTCAGGTTACCCAAATATATGTTCACAAACACTTTACAAGTGGATTCTTCATAATATGTCCCCTTTAAGGTACTGCCTAACTTATTTTTGGAGCAAATGTGAGCCTGTGAGTGGCAGCTTGATGAATGGATTCCTTGTGGCCACATTTTGTTTCAGGGTACGACATCACTGAACTCAGCAGGTTGATCTGAAGAACTCATTTATTACACACAGAGCCCGGCAGGAAGCTGCACGGACCGACCCAGCAGAGAAACAGACAGCTCTTAAACACACATGTTGAGCGTTACCTTGGATGACGGTCTTCAAGATGAAGTTGTCGGCTGTTAACGACACCAGCGGGCCTTTATGAACCACTTTTCCCTGGAAATAAATAATGAATTTTAAAAAAAGACTGAACTTGGAGACAAACTGGAAAACACTGAGCTCAAATTGAAGCTGTGAACGGTCTCACTGAGGGCCTGTCAACTGATCAAAGACACATCAGGAAAGTGAGCGGCGTTGATGAGCGCCTCTGGGAAATGAGCTACGAAACAGAAGGTGGATTATTCTGCCTTTTCGGTTTTCAGACATTTATTCCTGCGGCGTACTAATCAAAAAGAAGAATACAGCGTCACGTTGAAATACAAAAGAAGCTGGAAGGGAACAGATGGTGGCAGGTGAAAAAGCAGAGATATCAGTGCAGGGAAGATGTGTTACCTGTGAAGCACCACCCGGCTATTTCATTTTCTTTGATTGTATGCAAAGTGGAGTTCTTTCCAGGTAATTTTAAAAGATCCTAATGTTCTTCCTTTATTATTCATTCTTGCACAAACATCTATAAAACCTCATGTTCAGTAGCTTAAAGCGTAACATTAAGGCCTGTATTTCTGTGGCTCTGATTCCTCTGAAAGACGCCTCAAACCAATCAGGATTCAAGCTACATCCACCCTTCCAGGTCCGACCCCGGGTCAAGGTGGTGTTTAGTCCAGTACACCAGAAAAGGAGCTGCCTGGGGCGCTGGTAGCTTAGTGGTTAATGTGCATGCCCCATGTACAGAGGCTACAATCCTCCAGGCAGACAGCCAAGGTTCAAATCCGACCTGTGGCTCCTTTCTTGCATGTCATTCCCGACTCTCTCTCTCCCTGATTTCCGACTTCGTCCACTGTCCTGTCAGTACAATAAAGGCAGAAATAGCCCAAAAATACCTCCAAAAAAAGAAAGAAAAGAAACTGCCAAATCTGCCAAAGAAGAAAAGTTAAAAGGGAAGAAGTGAAATGTTTTCCGACATTTGATCATGAAGATCAAATCTCTCTCTCTCTCTCTCTTCGACGACGTCACTTTAATGACTCTTTATTTAATATTGAGCGCCTCACGTCTTGTTTACAGCTTTAAGGTGTGTGACTGTAAACATTTGGCTCTAATTAATCCGAGCTGATGGCTAATTAAGAGTTTCATCTGCCTGCATGAAAAACGGTGTAAATGCACGGCCCGGACCACCTTCCAGCAGGTTAAATATTAGCACGCTGAGGCAGAAGGTATCGCTTGATTATAGAAAATAATCGTTCATATTTATTGCAATAAATTCAGACTTCTGCGTCGTGTTTATTCTGAATGCTAACATCACGCTAATGATGAAACTGTTGTTAATTGTGCAGCCCTAATTGTCGCACACATGTAATCGGGGAGACTCACATGGCTCCTGATGAGTCCCCGATACTCACTGCAATGAGAACCAATCACTGTGTAAACAAACCTTGACTGTTCTGTTGGAGCAGTCGGTGCTGATGCTGATGAGGGAGATGGGAATGCTGGCCAGGTGTGGCGGTACCTTGGCGTCTGGCCCCGCCCCCCCTGACAGCACTTGGACTGGCATGGCGTCAAGTTGACCTGAGAGACATAGAAAGGGAAAGTGTTGTTATTTTCTGCGTCAACAACTGAGAGTCAAGGAAACCTCTTTCATCTGTTTTCAAGCTTTAATCTGTCATCTGTCAGAGTAGACAGGACGCACAGCTGCTGACAGACATTGATCCAAACTGGGATCTGTGGTGTTCAGAACGTCCAGTGTTGTTGTCCTCCACCGCACTCGACTCATTACCAGGATGAAACCTGTGACAGGAAGAACCAGATCCATGTCGACAGTACGGCAGGAGGGTTAATGTCTGCGAGGCGTTTCAGAGAGTAACCAGGAAAAGTGTTGGCCGTGTTCCCAGCAGGTAGCACGTTGCTTCCTGTCAGAGCTTGTTAGTTTGAGTTCCTGCAGATTTGACTGAGAGTCCCTCAGTGGAACCTCGTGGAGTGAGGACGGCGGAGTGGGAACAGCCTGCGAGGCAGACGAGCTGCTCACTCGGCCGTGCACTCAGCCGCTCAGTCAAGTAGAAAACCCATACAGGAAAAAAAATAAAAATCAAGTAAATCTCTCTGATTTGGACCAGAGGGGCAGAGCCAGGGGCCTGATTAGAGCATGATGAGTGATTCATTCATGAGGTCAGAGCGGCTCTCTGAGTGGGAGGTAGAACAGACTACCTGGTTTCTTCAGCTGACCTGCAGCTGCTTCAAGTCACTCTCTCCTCCACTCTCTCTCCTCGACCTGCACGTTCATCAGCTGCAGCTGAGGAAGATTTCACAGAGGAAGCCCTAAGTTTGGACCTGCAGGGGTCCAAACTTAGTCATGACTGAGACACTGCAATGAAGGCTTTTTAGTCAGTCCTTCTGCTCTGTATTTTCTGTTGTTTTTCAGTGTGCTATGGGTCTCCTTTTGATGACACAATCAATAGGATAGAAAGGTGTTTTGGGACCAAACAGTTCTGGGGACTTTCTGAGGAGGAAGTATCCACTAGAGTTCCCTGAGAACGACACACCATGGGGACTTTTTCTTCTGTCTGCATTCGCACCACCATGGTACCTACTCCGAAGAGTACTCTAAAAAGGTTCCTCGAAACCGTGTTCTAGGAACTAAAAATAGTTCATGTTTCCTGTGGTGCAAAAATCAATTAAAAAAAAGGGAGAGGGTTCCAACAGTTCCTAGAACTATGAAAAGGTTCCTGTGCCTAATGTCCCTCAGAAAAACATGCAAAAACTGCATTTTTGTTTCTGGGTGCACATTAGAAAATTGTTCAGGACCAACGTGACTCTCCTTTATTCCCCGGTTTTATCATTCTGCTGGTATTTCAAAATGTCTCACATCTTAGCACATGCAATAATGAAATAAACACAACAGCTTCATCCACATCCATCCAGCCTGTAACCTCCTGTAGCAGCTCCGGTGATGAATGGTACAGACTGAGCTGAAAGTCAGACTCATCCCACAGAGCGGCCACATATCAGATACCAGGCAGTCAACACTGACCCCTAAACGACAGGAGCAGACACTGGTTTTCCTGCTCCTCTGAGCGTCACGAAGACACACCGCTCAGCTGCTCTGGGACCCTCATTAACTCAGAGGGTCTCTCAAGTTCACTCCGACATATCAGTGCGTGGGGAATAGAGACGGACACAGGCTCTGTACAAACTAGACATGACTGTAGGGGAGGTGGAACACGTTATTACTGACCTGTTCTCCTCAGCAAGACAAACCGAGTCCTGAGCAGCTCAGTTAAGTCTGGTCACATCTATTGAAGACTTTTAGCTTTTCCAAAACGTATGGACAAAAATCAGAACTGATGACGGAGATTGTCATTTTGTTCAGTCATTTTATCCAACTGTTTGATGAGTTTTATTTGGATTTGGAAGCGAGCTGACTGAAGACGGAAGCACAACAACCGCAGCAAGTTAATTTTTACTCACCTCCAGCTCGCGCTCTAACTTGTACAGGCCGCACGCCATCTCCACATCTTTATCCATGTAGATTAACTTTTTTCTTTGTGAGTTTTCAGATAATAGAAAACCAAACCTTCTATCTATCACTATTTTTTCTGCCTGTCGTCCGCCATGTTTGTTTACGCTAAAGTTGCATTTGTAAAATTCAGTTAGTTCAATTAAGAGAGTCGGAACTCTTGTTGTTGGTGAGTGAATACGTAAATGTGTGGAGAGCAATGATGTATCAGAAACAGGACATCATACACTATAGAAACAAGACAGTTTCATCTATGGTTATTTGTGGTCATGTGTGGGGTCTCTCCATAGACTGTAAATATTAATGGATGAAGCCTGAGTGACGTCACCCATCTGTTCCTGCAGGGGGCTCTGGAGGCTCATTAGCAGCAGCCGTCATGTTGGAAATGCTGTCTCAGTCTAACTTTCAGTCGACCTAACGACAGGCTGAGAGCTGGAGCTGAGGCGGGTTTTAAGCCTCTTAACAAACTGTTACATCACGCCCACCTGCCAATCATGTCAGATACACTCCTAACTGTGAATAACACATATCGTTCATAAAATCGAAACTGAGCAGATTTGAAAAAAATCGAACCCCCTAACGTGTGGGCCCATGATGACAATAACTAATCAGACTTATTTCGTTTTTTATACCAGGCTGTAAACATGTTAATTTGGGCTGTAAAAACAGCTTTCTGTCTGTTGTGTGTATGTGACTCCCGGTGTTCCTGGAGCCAGCCTCTAGTGGACACTTGACGAACTGCAGGATTTTGCACTTCCGCATTGGCTTCAATTTTCAACACTGGAGGTTGTCGCTTAATTCAGTCATTTAAAAAATAAAAATCACAGTACATTATTTCTTCACTCATTAATTATGGACAGAAGTGAACTCAACACACAACGTAACACTGGCTGCTATTTGAAGGTTCATTTATACACAACACAAACCTCCAGCTGCCCCAGGTGCACGCTCCAGCAGTTTCTCCCATTGAATAAATAAAAAAAAATAAAGCAGTACAGCTCAGCAGGTGATTTCAGGAGTTTTTATCAGGTCAGGAGCAGCTTGCGAGAGCAGAGCGGGAGGGGAGTGTGCCGAGGGAGAGCGGCGCTCAAAAAAAACACCATTTATTAAAACCATTTAAAATCACACCTCGGCAGCGAGTCACAGGCTCTCTGTGGACGACAGACAGACCGACCTGAGACTCAGACAGTGCTGTTTTAAATTCACATCTCACACCTGCATTACACCTCCTCCAAGGGAAAAGACAAAGTTTAAATCCTAAAAGGAGACACTTTGTTGCTGCATCAACCTGCAGCTCTTTAAACGAGTAATATGTAACTCTGACACCTAGTGTATGAAATGGGGACTGCAGTCTGCAGAGCTGATGTGCACGCAGGTTGCCATGTTGACTTTAGACCAAGTTGCACCACACAACAAGTTTGGTTACACCGTTAAAGGAGTAATGTGTAACTCTGACACCTAGTGTTTAAAATGGGTTCAGCAGTCCAAATTCAAACATTGCAGACAGCTGTCTCCCCCCGCCCCCTCCTCTCTGGACTCGATGCTCATGCAGGTTGCCATGTGGTGAACACTGAAGCTTCAGTGTTTAGCCAGCTCTGCATCGGTCTGTAAACCTTTCTGCGTTCTAACCTCTCTCCATTTCTCAAAAGCATCTCCAATATTGATCCTAGTTTGAGCACGTTTCTGCTCGTGGAGCTTATTAGAAACTAATTGTTTGAAAGAATAGGGCCCATTGTGTAAAACTATAAAGGTTCCTCACTATGTCGGGGGATCTGTGAGGGTTAATGAACATTTTAAAATGTTCTTTCGATGTCTTTGCGGTTGATCAAATCACAGTTAGACCAGTTAATCTGCTGTTTGATGTTCGTGCCTTGTAAAATAAAAGTTGACCATAGCAAGACTGCGAAACAAAATCTATTTAAAAAGATAATTTTCCGATTCCTTATCAAAAGAGAATATTCAGGAACATGAATAGGTGAGACATACAGTCTGAGCAATTGATAGCTTTTTATCTATGCATACCCAACAGATCATGCGTCTTATCTGCGTCCTCAGCCTTGGGATGCAAAAACAGATCTAAAAGGTTTATTTCCATGCACACTGGAAGAGTTTCCTCTGCAGCAGGAATCAGAGAAATCCTCCCAGAGGGCACGGAGAGAGATTAACCTTCTCTCAGCAGCAGCGGCTGATGAGAAGAATCTGACATGGGTTGAGAAATACAGACAAGCAAGACTGTAGTCTGCTGTTCATTACAGCCTCGAAAACAAAAGAATGGATTTGGCTGCAATTAACTAGACGCTCCATTATGGATTCATTTTATTCAAATAATAGTATTCGCAGTGACATGGCAAAAACTATGAAAATGCCCAAAATGACAACGTCCAAAGCCACATCCAAATGTCTCATTTAATCAAACCCAAAATATGAAGCACAAGCATACAATTTCCTGTAATGCAAAAGAAAAGGATTTGCATTTCTTTTGCTTGAGAAATGACCTTATTATGAATCTAGTGCAACGAAAGCTGCCAACTAATTAAAGCTCACAAAAGACAAGATGTGCTCAAATATCTGGCCGAGGTTTAAGAGACTCTGCTGCACAGCACAACAACAATAAAACCCTTGTTGGTTTGCATTCATGATCATTTTTCAGCCACTTTGCAGCAGAATCTGCTCTGATACAAGTGGATAAACAAGGATCAGTTTTTTAGTTTGTTGAAATTTTAGAGAATGACATTTAACCTATGAAGTCACCGCAGCAGAGCAACTCCACCACACTCCTTCATGTCTTCTACTAAAGCCTCATGTTTTCCTGTCTTTCTTAATCCGTTTTCACATCTACACTCCTGAAAATATCAAGAACATTTCAGGAGGACTGCTACGGATATTCCCCTGACCTGGTTGTTCACACATGCTCCTCACAGCTGGAGACTATTCCTGTCAGGCAGGGGGGGGGTTCTCCTGAGATAAGACGCGGAAGTAGCAGACGAAGCAACAGAGTCCGCTTAACGATACCGTAATGAGAATATTTGCCTATCAATGCTATGGCTATCAACAGAATCACAATATCAACAATCAACAACATCTCTTGTTTCTCTCCCTCATTTTTTTTTTCTCTGGCAACTTGTTTTATTTATTTTTTTACTTTATTGCACAAAATACAAACCATAAGGCACATTTTCCAAAATTAGCTTACACATTAGCGCTGGTAATGATACAGTATGAAACACAAACAAAACGTACGAACAAAAAAAAACAAATATGTGAGAGTCTTAATCTGGTAACATAAACAGATCAAGTAA